CATCTATGACTGTACAAATTTAGTAATTTTGGCAAGTACGTTAGCCCTTACAAGTCAATAAATATGTGCTCACCTTCAGAGCAGTTCCTGGCAAAAGTATGCTTATTCTAGTAATGGGGCTGTTGCTTAGAAAATCTTGAGATTTTTATTTTTGACAACACCTTAAGAAATTTTGCCCATTTATTTAAATATTCTCAATGGTAGAAAATTTTCATCCATTGAAAGTAGATCTTAGTTTTGGAAAAAAATCTCTGAAGTTTAGAGTGTTTAATACCACTTGGGGTCCAAACAAAACAGCCGTGAGTCTAAAATAGTAATAAATCTTGCATTTGTAGAGTGTTCTATCTTTTCCATAAACTGTGTGGTCTTTTTTTCAACAAAACTAGGGATTACGGAAAGGTTGTTCCTTGTGTTATAAATCTATGAGGTGGCAGAACAGACACTTGAGATCCAGTGTTCTATGTACTTTACACTAACACTACCATGTAACGAGACTAATTTTCTTGATAATGGAAAACAGCTTCCAACATATTTTAAGCAGGGACATTGCAGACTAAATTTATATCCTTCTGAGGCGAATACTTTAAACAAACGTAGATTTTCCATTCTATGTATATTTTTCAAACTAGTTTACTGAGAGTTTTTTTTTCTTCTTGATGCTAGATAATAGTATAACTAGAACTTTTCATAAGTTATTAGTATTTCTGCCTATGTTAGTCGATGGTAGGAATTTTCACATAAGGTTTGTGGCAGCAGACCCAAAAGAGCAGTGAAAGGAGCTAGGGAGAACCACATTTTTCTTAATTTTTATCCCAGGACATTAAATGAAAATACTTTCTTAGACTTTTAAAATGTATCTTCATAGCAAAGTTTTTATGCTAAAGTAGTTTTTAATTGAAATTTCATTTGATTTTCAGCGTGGCTTTGTGACAGGTGGTGCAGATAAATCTGTCAAATTCTGGGATTTTGAGTTAGTGAAAGATGAAAATAGTACCCAAAAGAGGTGAGTAGATATTTTTTTGTACCCATTTTTTGGAGTGGAAATTGGGAGCTATTGAATGGCCTTTTGACATATTGTATCGTTTGTTGTGCTCTAAAGAGTTAGATTTTTCTGAATTTGTATACTCATTTATTTTTTTCTTGATGTTTTTTGTGGTGCTAGACTTTCTGTGAAGCAAACCCGAACCTTGCAACTAGATGAAGATGTTCTGTGTGTCAGTTACTCTCCCAATCAAAAGCTATTGGCTGTGTCTTTGCTGGACTGTACTGTGAAAATTTTCTATGTTGATACTTTAAAGGTATAGTGGTTATGCCCGGGGATATTTTCCCTTTCTGACTCACTGACCTTAAGAATTTGGGTTGAGGCTATAAAGAAGTGGCCTTGACTGTGCCCAGCAGTAGTACATTTCTAAAAATGTGTGTGTGAATCAAAGCAATGTAAGTATACTAGGGAAGCTAGCATTTTAAAATAATTCTATCGTTCATGAATTTTGTTTAAAGCAAGTTATATTTCATGTGTTCAAAAAATCTTGTGGACAGAAAATTCTGTCATACTAAGTAGTCATAGAGCATTGCTAGGTGTCCTGGGCAGTGATTTCACACTTGGCTATGTATTAGGATCATCTAGATTGCTTTTAAAAATACAGATTACTGAGCCCTATACCCAGAGAGTTGAGAGGACCAGGTTGGGCCTGGGAATTTTTTTGGGAAACAAGTGCCCTGGAATCTTTTCAGTGAAGAGATCCAGAGATCTGACTGAGGCAGTAAGCTTCTGGGGGCCTCCTTGCCTCCACTATACTGCAGTATTTTTGGCAAGTGCATGGAGGATCTGTGTAGTGGACATAGGTACTCCTACAAAGCTGTCTTTTGTGGGTTGTCTTTGAAAATACAAATATAAAGCAATTTAAAAATGTGTTTAAAGTTATATTTTAGACCTACATGTTATAAATTATACCCATATTTTATAGACAGACATTAATTATTATTTTTTTTAATGTTTAGTTTTTTCTCTCACTGTATGGACACAAACTACCTGTTATATGCATGGACATCTCTTATGTAAGTAAAGTTCAAATAGTGTCTCAGTAATAGTTGTCTTTTCTGAAGCAGATACTTTCTTAATTCTGGCTTGATATCTTCATTTTAGATTATTTGTTTTTATCATCATTCTTTCTTCAAAAACAGTCTCAAATTAATATATATTGTGTCTTATATATATTACTTTAATGTTTTCAGAATAATTTTGCAAATATTATCTCTATCCTTCTTGTAGCTCTCCCAAATAGTACTTTGTTGTTTAAAATACTATAATTGGTAGAGTACACTAAAATATGAAAGACTTTTAGAAAGGCATTCCGTTTTGTTCTGAAGGATAATGCTGCTGAGGAGCTTGGATTTATATTTGGATAGTTACGGTATTTTACACTATGTAAACTTTTGGTCTCTTGACCAAAATCATTTATTTCCCAATATCTAGTTTTGATTACAAGTGGCAATGTATATTAAAAAAAACGTCTATTCTGCAGAGCAAGACTCCGTCTCAAAAAAAAAATGTCTATTCTGTGTGAAAGGAGTTGACCTCATAGCTGTCTGTGATCAGTGTACTAACAATGTTAAGTTACAGTGTTAAATATATTTCTTTCTTTCTTTTTTTTTTAATATTGACAACCATTTGAACCAGGCATTGAAATAGGAGAGATAAGAGAAATAGTGATAGGGAACGTGGGATACATAAACATTCTAATAGAGGCTTTCTTGGCTTTTCTTCTGTTTCTGTCTCCCACTTTCTTTCCAAATCCCCTGCCAGAGATTAGAGAATCTTTTTCCTATCTAAAAAAGTAAATAGATAACCCTACATCAAGGCATAGCACTGCCCTGTGGCAATATGAAAGTATGTAAGCCACAGTGTTCATGCTTTTACTTAACAAGCTTTTTAAGTATCTCTGTAGGTAAGAGCAAAGAATTCAGTGTTTTTAGTAGAGATGAAATCAGTTTTTTGACTTCATTTTAATGTGTTTGAAAGAAATGGGTTAAATATTCTGGTTACCTTTTTATTCATATACAGAATTCAAAAATCAAGGTAATATTTTACTTTTATTTGCCATAGGATGGAGCACTTATAGCAACTGGCTCCGCTGATAGGAATGTGAAAATCTGGGGTTTGGACTTTGGGGACTGCCACAAGTCTCTCTTTGCGCATGATGACAGGTACATACAGTCTTTTCAGATGCCTCCCTTTGAGTTATCTGTAAGTATCACTTTCCTTGAGCATCTGCATCTATTTTTCAGTGTTCTCAGGCAGTGATATAAGTTCTAAAATACAGTTAGACAGTCTAGAACTAGCTAGTCAAAAGCTCTTTATGTGTGTAAAACTCTTTTTACTAACCTGGAATTTGTTGACGTTTTAATATTTCTGTCATTTTTCAGTGTGATGTACCTACAGTTTGTACCCAAGTCTCACCTCTTCTTCACTGCTGGAAAAGACCATAAGATTAAACAGTGGGATGCAGACAAATTTGAACACATACAGACTCTGGAGGTAACCACATGCCTGCTTTGCTTGCTCGGTACTTAAAAAATACTTTTAAGAATATTTACATTACCCACTAAGAGTGGTCTGTGAATGAGATATTCTTGAGGTGTTTTTTTTTTTTTTTTTCCCCCTCCAGGGGCATCACCAGGAAATATGGTGTTTGGCTGTAAGCCCCAGTGGAGACTATGTTGTATCATCGTCCCATGACAAATCTCTGAGACTTTGGGAGAGAACAAGGGAGCCTCTTATTCTTGAGGAAGAAAGGGAAATGGTAAGAACTTTAGGCTTGGTTACAAATATGCCAGTGGGTATCTGACAGGCTGTCCTAGTTGAAGTTTTCTGTGTAGTGCAGTTATACCTCATTCATTACAAGTCCAAGAACCTTCAGGAGATCTGTTCAAGACCATTGTCACCCATTTCAGAAGCTAGGCAGAGATAAAGATGCCATTAGGGGGATTATGTTGTCAAAGAAGCACCGTCTTGCTGCCTCATTTCTCTTTATATAGAGACCGTGTTTTTTCCTCTCAAATTAATGTATATCTATCTTATGGCAGGAAAGAGAAGCAGAATATGAGGAGAGTGTGGCCAAAGAAGACCAACCAGCAGTAAGTAAATTTGGGGGACCTTGAGATTATGCCCCATATATAGTTATCTTATTGAAATTGACTATAATGTCCAGAATTTCTAATAGGATTAAAATTGAGGCTAGAAGTTGAAGGTATCACCAGCCGATAAAGAATCTGTGTGATTCTTTCTCTTCAGCTGTATATCCCAATTTTGTGGTTCAAGTGATTGACCAAATTTGCTATTGAATAATTATCATTCTGGCAATTGAGGCTTTAGGGAATTATTTTATTCACTGTAGAGCAAAAATAAACATTAGAAAATTTGGATATTCTCTTTTAAAACATGTGCAAGATATTCTTATGATAATACATATGCTAAGTACTGTTACTGGTAGCTGGTAACACTGTTAGTATTTTCATAAAATAATAATAGCTGTTCTTATATGGATGTAAGATTAATTTATCAGCTCTTTAACTCTGGTCAACAGTGTTGTTCAAAGATTTCTTTGTTTCTGGCAGGTTCCAGGAGAGACTCAAGGCGACAGTTACTTTACTGGAAAAAAAACTATCGAAACAGTGAAAGCAGTAAGTTGATATAGAATGTGGTTTCTCGTTTTTTAATAAGATCTCAACTTTTTAGTGAAAGTTTTATTCTGTATCAACCAGAAAGCCATTTTTTGGCAAAAAGTTCATGAGATTTAAAGATGGGGATTATAACCTGTTTTCTTCTCTTGTAACCAAAGATGGGAGTAGTCCTGACTCTCTGATCAGTATGTGCTCCTTTCAGGTGTTCCTGGGACCTGCCCTATTCAGAGTGTCTAGGTATCATCCCACCTGAGTCCACGACACTTAGTCTTCTCCCTGTACATTAAAAAATAAGAAAACCAAAAATGTCTTTAAACGCTTTTTGGCACTCTATTGGCACATCTTTATTAAACGGATTGAAGCTATTTCATTTGGCAAATTTCTAGTCAGCTCTTCCAGTTTCAGTGTCCTGGGATGATGGAGTGTGTTGTGATGATTTCTTTCCTTTGTCATCATCTGTAGGCTGAGAGGATTATGGAGGCTATTGAGTTGTACCGAGAAGAAACTGCAAAAATGAAGGAACACAAAGCCATTTGTAAAGCTGCAGGGAAAGAGGTAATAAGAGAGTATAGTAAGTTACAGTATCAATAAAGGGATTTCCTAAGGAGAAAAACCATTGTTTTGGGATTTATTAGCTAAGATCAGGATATGCAATAAATGGAGTAGAATCTTTCCAACTCACTACATTAGAAGACATTGAGGAACTGTGGGAAGAAGGGCACTTGGTCTTAGTGAAAGCGAAGGAAAGGAAATTACAGATTGAGGTGATTACTGTCTTGAGTAGAAACTCACGTTCCTACTTTGGTTTGGGAGGCAGGGTAACCATTTCAGAAATCTAGATAAAATACATTGTTCCAGCTCATTCATGAATACTATAGAAACTAACAGGCTTGATAATTCTTTTACACTCTGTCAGTTTTTTAGGGTCTCTTTTTTCTCTTTTCAAAATCATAAAATACTGTTACCACTCTGTCTATAACAAATGCTATACAAGTCTCAGTTTTTTTAATGACTTGATTTAATAATTTCTTCATAGGTTCCACTTCCCACCAACCCCATCCTAATGGCTTATGGCAGTATCTCAGTAAGTAAAATGTCTAATGGTTTCCCCTTGGTTATTCAAAGTTACTTACACGGACAAGAAAGGAAGTAGAGGCATTATGATTTGGGGATGGATTACTGGGAATACTTTGTCTTTAAAAGTCTCTTTTGAATCTTGGCATTCTCTAAGATATTTTGTATTTCAAAAGCACCACTTTAGTGTAACTTCCCAAGCCAGCCTTTTTGATTGGACTGGACTGGCATTCTTCTATTTTCTAGTGCTTGTTTATGTTTAGTGTCCAAAGCCCTGTGAAGATTCTGTTCATCTAAATTAACTTTCGAATCAGCCTTCGGAGGGAAAGTTGACAGAAACCAGTCTGATGAGATAAAGAAGAGAGAGGGGAAGAATAATGGGAGAATGTATGTTTATCTAGTAATCTCTAATTAGTATTTTACTTGCATGTCTCATCACAGTAATTTTGTGAGTCAGGGTATCTTCACCTTATAGATAAGGAATCTGGCTTGACTTGTAGCATAGTTGGTAAGGGGCATAGTTTGATTGTGAACCGAGATCTGGCTTACTCTAAACTCATGCAGATCTTACCATTTTAGAATACTTTTTCTGAAATAAGAAAGAGGGGTTCCTGTTTTATAGGAGATAGAAATTAGAGAACTTTAGTAGAAACCAACCAAGAGTATCACTAATGGTGTTAATCCTTCCTTTATAGCCTTCAGCTTATGTATTAGAGATTTTTAAAGGCATCAGGTCAAGGTGAGTGAGTCCTTGTGCACAATTTTTATAATCTGTCAGCATTTATGAAATACTTATCTGAATGGGAAATAAATAGAAATTATAATTGATGGTTATCTTTCTTATAGGTTTAACTATATAAAAGTTTTGATGGGAAATAATTTATAATGTTCTTTTTCAAGTGCTAGAACTAGGAAGTTCCTTCTAAAGTATGAAGAGAGATGCTTTTAAGGACAAATAAAAGGGAGTGATTTATGTTGTAGGCAATGAAATAATATATAATTCAATTAGAAGCACCAACTGTTAATTTTTTTTTTATATTTTGGCTTCTTTTCTATGTACATACACAATTGGAATAATATATAAAGTTTTATATTCTGTTCTTTTTCACATATTTCCTGAACATTTGTTTGTTCATATTGTTTAAAAAAAAATTCATTGGATTCAGAATTATTCCATTGTATGAATAATTACTGGATATTGCATTTGTTTCTCCTTTTTGGCTATTATCAGTGGCTTCACTGAATATGTTTACACATATATCTTTGTCATCATTATTGATTATTTTTCTTAAGAGTCCTAGCAGCCTAATAACTGACCAGTAGGCATGAGCTTTTTTATATTGCCAAATTACTTTCCAGGGTGATTATACTGATTTTTAGTAGGCTTTAAAAAATTTGTTGCCAGTGTGAGAGGCAAAAGGTAATATTGTTTATTTTCGTTTCTTTTGACTATTAATGAAGTTAAAATTTCAGCATATTTGTTGACCATTTGTATTTTTTCTTGTGAATTTTTAGTTATCTCTTTTTGCTCTTAAGTATTATTTTACTGTTTTTTAAAGAACTCTGGCTGGGCACAGTGGCTCATGTCTGTAATCTCAACATTTTAGGACGCTTGAGACCAGAAGTTTGAAACCAGCCTGGGCACCATACTTTATTTTCTTTGTCATACATTTTTGCAATAATTGTTATTTTATTGGTGATTTTCCTTTTGATTTCATTCATGAGTTGGAACTACTGAAGGCTATCATTTTCATAATGAACCACAATATCTACATATATATTCTTTTTTTTTTTTTTTTTTAACATATATATTCTTTACAAGAAATAACACCTGTCTTAGGATAAAGATGAAACTTCACTACAGGAATGTAAAAGAAAATTGATTAATGTGGAGGTTATGATACATTTGAAGATAGGAAGATTCTGTGTTTTAAAGATTTAATGTTTCCTAATTAATAGGTTTGTAATCCCATTTGATATCCTCTTAAGATTTTAAATTGGAATTGATGAAATAATACTTGAGCTAATTCTAGAGGGAACTATTTTCCCAGATTAAAAGGCTACAAAATTAGCAAAATTAAAATAGTGTAGGATTGGTATCAGGATCAATCATCATGTCAGGATAAGTCATCATAATAGACTCTAATGGACTCAATATATGGTAAAATAATATCATATGAAGATGGAATATTCAACAAAAGGCTTTGGAGAAATTGTTTATCTGGAGGGAAAAAGTTAGATTTTCCCATCATGCCATTGACCAAAATGCATTCCAAATAGATTAAGATGTTAAATACAAAAAACAAAGGGAGTCATCTAGCTTATAGATGAATATTTAACTCTACACAAGGTGTATTCAAGTATAAAATCAGTAGAAAAAGTAATAAAGGGAAAGATTTAAAAATTGACCATTTTAACAATGTTAACAAATGCGGCATTTTTATATCTATTTTTTCTTTTTCAGTGAACTGGAAGAATCTCTACTTGTGCTGCCTTTTTCTTATGTCCCAGACATTCTTAAACTCTTTAACGAATTCATTCAGCTGGGCTCTGATGTTGAACTTATATGCAGGTGCCTCTTCTTCCTCCTCAGGTAACATCCTTTTCCAAAGAATACCATGTCTTTTCAGCAGAACTGCTTCAGTAGTACCTTAACTGAAGCTGTCAACACTTGGGGATTAAGAAATAGTATGCCACACTCGGTGGCTCACTCTTGTAATCCCAGCACTTTGGGAGGCCGAGGTGGGTGGATTGCTTGAGCCTAGGAGTTTGCTACCAGCCTAAGCAATCAGTCTTGCCTTTAAAACAAGGATCATGATGACCCACCTCTTTAAGTAAGAAGTCATGGTAATACATTGCTCAGGAATCCTTACTCAGTCATCGGCCTCTGTGTTACAATCTAAGATAGCTTTGGTTCTAGTCAGTTTAGCAAAAGCCAATTACGATTGGCCAATTTGCCTCATTTGTTGTTTATTTGAAGCCAAGCTTGTTTAACCTGTGGCCCGCAGGCCACATGTGGCCCAGTACGGCTTTGAATGTGGCCCAATGCAAATTTGTAAACTTTATTAAAACATTATGATTTTTTAATGATTTCTTTGTTGTTGTTGTTCATCAGCTATCATTAGTGTATTTTATGTGTGGCCCGAGACAATTCTTCCAATGTGGCCCAGGGGAGCCAAAAGGGTGGATATTCCTGTTTTAAAGTGTTTAGTGTAAGCTAACAGGTTTTGCTTTGTCCTTATACCAACATTTTAAGGAAGTCAGTTTATTTATCTTGGTCTCTACAGGTGCAAATGGAAATGTAGGGGCATATATAGAGGTAAACTAAGAAACATAAAGCAAATATGTTCATTAGGTTGTATTCTTAAATATGAAGAATTCTGTTAATAGGTAGTTGAGAAGAATAGATGTACAAAGACTTGATATTCTTCTCATCTCTCACCCTCATTCTCAAGCTGTTACAGCAGAGAACAGAGATGGAGACAAATTGAATATTCCTTCAAATACTGTTATGAAGACAAAAACTGGTCAGCCAATGCCAGATAGTTAAACAGGTATATTTAGTGAATTGACCAAATAGGTATTTGGTGAATTGGCCTGGTTTTATGATTCTTAACCCTCCATTTCTTATACTCTATCCAGGATAGTAGCAAGAAAAGAAGAAGAGTATGTTTTGTTGCCATATTCATAATCTGGGGCAAGTTGTAAAGACATAACTTCATATTTAACCATATTACTAATAATTTCTTTTACTACTATGGCATATGTGCTATTGAATTAGGGTTGCTGGTTCTACAAGAAACCCCGAATACTTATAGCGTATCAGAGGGTTATAGATGGGTGCTACCTGACAGGTACAGCAGGGTCATCAAGGATATCTTGGTACTCTGGGTCAGAGTTTGAATCTCTCATGAATGTCTCTCTTTTTTGCTGTGGCTTTATTAGAAGTATTAATGCAACTTTTTTGAGTTAGCATTTCTTAGAAGGCTCATTCTGTCTTTGAGTTTTCCATAAAGTACCACTCAAAATCTGTAGCCACTGGCAAGTTGCTGGGCTGGGAAAAGAGCCTTTGCAAATGAGTTGAATGTGTCATAAGGTTTAGGACAGTATTTTTTAAGTTATCATCAAATTGACCTGAATAGTAGAGAAAGAAATTTCTTTGGCTTTTTTTTTTTTTGCTCGAAACATTTCTATAATGTATATTTTGTTGTTGCTTTGATATTTTATCTGTTTACTGTGTCTAGCCATGTTAGGTTCAACATGACTGACTGTGTTTTGTTTTTCTATTAGGATTCACTTTGGACAGATCACTAGCAATCAAATGCTTGTGCCAGTGATAGAAAAATTAAGGGAAACAACTATTTCAAAAGTCAGCCAAGTCCGGGTAAGTGTCTTTGTATAGAGATAAAATAATGAGGCAAATTCCTAGTG